ACATTTAGAGTTGCCACTCTCAGTCCTACATTCTTGACTTCCCTTTTCTCCCTCTGTCTCCTGACACATTTCCCTCCTCTTGGTGTTAGACTAATAGTAGAATAATTTCCGCTGGCACGCTATATGTCAACAGTACCCTGTTTGTCAACAGCACCTGTGGCGATCACTGTTAACCCAAGCCTCAACCGATCCAGTATGGTGTCGCTTAGATGAACTTGCATTATAGTTTTGGCAAAAGTGTTTTACGTTGGATGCCCTGACAACCTCACCATTTACTTGGGCATGGGACCGGCACAACACTGGCTTGTACTCCCTAGTGGCTGGTTTGGAAAAATCACACAGTACTGTAGTATGACAGGACAGCTTTGCTGTGGACACACTATTTAATTAATTATTCTTAAGGCTAGTTCAAGCACAAAGAATATTAATTGTTTAATTAACAACAGATTATTTCTTTTTCGAGTTAAATTTCTGCCATGTGACCAAGATAACTTGAGAGTGGATTGTATAATTAGTGAAATGAGACGCCACTTTATCTTTGACCCATCAGAATAAATGCGGTCATTTATTTTACAGAATCAAAATTTAACATCAAACATGTACACTCGATTTGCTGATCTGTTTCTGATTAATAAACTTAGCAAGTTCAAATAACAAGACAACAGAGGATTAATGATGGAGAATAATTAATCTCTGAAGGCACCTAGCTTGATTTACTGGCAAAGAGGTTTACAGAGAATATAGATTTAGATTTAAAGAGGAGATTTAGATGGAGGAAGGAAAATGTGTTGACCCGGAATGGCACCCTTCTTTCGACCCCAGCTCAGCCCTCGGTACACTCAGGGTGTGACGACTCTTTACCTTTGCAGAAGATAAATCATCTCCGGTACAGAGGTCCATTTCACACTCCCTTTTCAGCGTCTCTGGTCAGAGTGGCTGGTAATCGTCTGAAGTAGTGACGGTACTCCGTTCAACAGAATAAGCTTCCTTAGAAGTTGAGAGCATTTAATGCTCGGGGTGAGTTCACAGCGAGGCATGCTGTGACTCAGCTGAAATGGAGGGACCCTTGGCACATGGTCCAATTCATCAGCTATTTAGTTCAGCTGTAAGACTCCAGCAAGACTGCAGTCCCAGCCAGAACTCCAAACAGACTTTCAGTAAGAACTGAAAGTTCCTGTACGACTCGCCGTAAGACTGAGTCTTCCAGTAAGACTGAGTCTTCCAGTAAGACTGAGTCTCATCTTAGACTGAAAGTTCCAGGAAGACTCCAGTAAGACTGAGTCTTCCAGTAAGGCTGAAAGTTCCAGGAAGACTGAATAGTTCCAAGAAGTGTTGACTTTTAAAGGGTATCCACTTCCTGTTACGTAGTACTTCCTGATTGGTTAACACAACCAGCAAGGGTGGAGTTTTAGTGATGTCAGAGGGTTATTAGAAGTCAACAGACAGCAGAAATGTTTTTAAGAACGGTTAGTACAGACAAGAAAATATTTTGAAGAAATGACAGACTTTGCAGGTGCCAGTTTCTTATTTACTGTCTGAGAGTTTTAAGAACAAGGCACTTTGTTCTCATAACTTGTTCTCTGACTTTTGACCGACATCAAATCCACTCCTCATTCAGACAGAAGATTAAAATGCACACTTACTTTGTAAATAGACATTTAACTTGTATGATCTAAGTCTAATGAGGTTTAAAAATCATTAATACTGTTTCACAGTTGATTTAAATGAGTGGTTTACTTCAACAGTAGAAATGGTATGAACTAACCACACTTTTTGATTATCAAGATATTGTAAAATAGTAATGATAATATAAAAAAGAAGAGAGTTCTTTCAATTGATTAATTCAGGATACAATTAAATAGTATCTTGATGAGATAATTTGTGTTCTGGATTCAAATCAATGAAATAACAGTTCCTGTCCCCTGAAGGTCTTCAGAGACAGATTGATGTAGGAGGTCTAGTTCACTACAGGTGCGAGAGGTCCCGGGTTCAAATCCCGGACGAGCCCTTTGCTGAAAGATTGCACTTCCGTCTTGGGACTGAAATAAACAGATTCCGTAGTATTCTGACTGGAAAAAAATTGTCCTAACTCAATGAAGAATAAAGACAGACTGCCTTCATACGATAAGGGAAACAAAAGTATTCTGTGTAAGGTGGCTAAATACTAATCATTCTTTGAACTTCAGAGGTATTCCTAAGCATTCTGGTTTTGAAGTTAGCTGTTAGTCTTGGTTTCAAATTATTGTGAACTAGAAGTCTAGTTCTGAAAAGATTGGTCAACTAAAGCATTTTAAGATTGTTTTTCGTGGAATTCAGCTTGCTGTTACAATCCTTAAAACACTACCATGTTTAAACTTTCGACTTACCTTCTGCACCCACATGTAGTTTATTTACCAAAACTGCAACTGCAGCACATTTGCCCTAATCTGATTTGAACGATACCTTTGTCAAACTAACTACTTCTGTAGATTATCGTTGGCAACACTGCCTACAATTTTAAGACAACTTTGAGTTTTTATGGCTCGTTTGTCTAGGAGTATGATTCTCGCTTTAAGTGCGAGAGGTCCCGTGTTCAAATCGTGGACGAGCCCTACATTGAGACCATGTAGGTCTGTCTTGTGTTGTATAATGTCATATTTTTTGCTATGCTCTGACATGAAATATTTCTCTGTGTATGGTGAAAATTGCAAAATCAGGATGTACATCATAGAAGTTCATGATGTGTGTAACTCCTTGTACAAGAGAACCAGAGACTGTTGCTATCTTGCTGGAACAGACCACTGTCAGCTGGGGCAGTGGCCGATAAAACGAGACCATGCCAGACCACACCCAGGAACATAGGCTGACCCAGAGAACAACATCATGATAAAGAAATCCCAGTGTAACTGATAACGCTGTATTTAAACGAAACAAAGGCATTTGTAACTCAGATGTGTTTTTGATGGATGTAAAGTGCATGAGACCGTCTCCCTTTCCAGTGCTGTGAAGGTAAAATAAATCTTTGTCTTAATTCAGAACCACTTCTCAGGCTGAGTTTTTGACTCTGTTTTCCTTCCACTGAATGATCTCGAGTTGAGGCAGTTTTTGAGCTAAATATTCTGAAGGTTGTTTCTCATAGTCAGATGACCTCAACACTTGGCAATGACATAAAAAAGTCAAGACTGCATTAACCTTAAATACACCGTCCTGATTCTGATAAGATTGGCAGCTGAAACACTGTAAGATGCGTTTTTCGTGGAATTCAATTTGCCTTTGCAATCCTTAAAACAATGCCATGTTTAAACTTTTGACTTACCTTCTGCTCCCACATGCAGTTTATTGATCAAAACTGCAACTGCAGCACATTTGCCTAAATCTGACTTCAATGCTACCTTTGTCAAACGAACTTCTGTAACATTATTGTTGGCAACACTGCCTAGAATTTTAAAATACAACATTGAGTTTTTATGGCTTGTTGGCCTAGGAGTGTGATTCTCGCTTAGGGTACGAGAGGTCCCGGGTTCAAATCCCGAACGAGCCCTACCTTGGGACCATGTAGGTCTGTCTTTGCAATGACATAAAAGAGTCAAGTCTGCATTAAACTTAAATACACTGTCCTGATTCAAAGAAGAATATGTTTTGTTCTTACTTATATTGTAAGTGACACAAATGTGTTGGGTATGTGCTAGCTAAGTACTAAAGATTCTTTCAACTTTAGGGGTCAGGCCGTGCAATAATATTTAAAGCAACTTGTGAGTATTGATTTCAAGTTACTGTGAACGAGAAGTCTAATTCTGATAAGATTGGCAGCTGAAACACTGTAAGATATAAATTAATAAATTTAATATAATAAATTAATAAATAAATTTAAAGAAGTGCACCACCTATTCACAAGAAATCTAATTTTGTACAAAATGAACTCACTTTGTGTTATTTGTAAACAAGTGTTTACCTTTTACTGATTTTGCAAAAAAAAAGGTAAACTAAACTTTAAAACTTTTCAGGATTTCTAGTCTTTGTATATTAGGCGCCTGCTCAGAAAGAGCAATATGAATTTCAGCTTGTTTAAGGAACACTGGGCCAACTTTTTGCTGTTCTGCAGTTTACTTATGGACCAAGCACATCTACAGAAAACCCTCTAGTCTACATCTAAAAAAGTTAAATCTGGTCCTCTGGACATTCAAAAAAACCAAAACAAAGCAAAACAACAAAAAATGTAGAAACGTTTCGTCTCTCATCCAAGAGACTTCCTCAGTCTGAGGTGCTGTATTCAGCTCAGTCTCTTAAATAGCACCTTCTCAGAGTGGACCCTCTGGTCGAGAGGACCAGATTTAACTTTTTTAGATTTTTCGACCTGGATTATTGAGCATGCATCAGGATACCTCTAGTTTACAGTAATAACTTCTACCACTGCACAACAAAGAATATTCTGGAGGGGCTTATCACAACCTGATACAGCAACTGTGATGGTTTGGACCTCAAAGTTCCACAACTGGAGGTTGTATCAGAACTGCGCATTACCAAGACTGAACAGGTCTGTAGAATGAAACCCTAAGTGTTTCTGTAAGGCAGGTGGTACAGGAGTGTCCAGACTTGTACTAGCCGATTCAAGAAGTTTTCATATTCATAACAACATGCTGGCCTGTTGTGCATTCATGTAGCACAACTACCTCTACAAGTTCTTGCAATTTCATACATATTTACATCCTCTTGCACTATGGTCACGTTTTGTGTATTAGTAACGTGTCCAAGAATTTGATTGCAGTAATGATACTTGTTACTTGTACATGACAACAAAACTTGAAACTTGCAAGGACACTATAGGGTGTGTGAGGAAAAATCCATTTAGTCTTTTTAGAAGAGGAGTATTCATGTTCTATTAGGTAGGGGGAGTGCTTCATGAGTGTGGGCTGTTAGGACCTCTGCTTCAGTTCTTAAATAAGGAAAATTAAGCAAATAAACAGATCTAAGCTGGAGCTGATGGACAGTGTTTACACTTAAAGCAACAATGTCAGACTTACAACAAAGGTATCATATGAGAACTTGTGCCTGTGAAGAAGATGCTGAAGAAAGTTGGAGCTTTTATAGGTGGGATCACCCCATGGCATTGCTGAACACACAGGGCATACCTGGAGGAATGAACAGACAGCTTAGTTCAGGTTAAATTATCCATTCATACAAAAATCAATATTAGATACACAGTACAGTAGTCCCTCGCTACTTAGCGGTTCGACATTCGCAGTTTTTCAAAGTAAGAGTGGACATGACACGCAATTGGCTGATTGATGGATGAGCCGCATTATTGGCACGGATTGTTTATTGAAAATAAATTATTTTAAATGATTTAGCACCTGTGTGCAGCCCACAGGTGCAGGGAGACGTTCCCTCCTGCAGCCTGTCATGATCTCTGCTCTTTGCTACCTGCGGCTCTCTGCCACGCCCACATTTTTCCTCCGGCTACAGAAGCTTTGTGAAGGGTTAATCCTTTGCTGTCCAGATACACCGATGGACTTTTGTCTTCCAACTTAAAATTTAAAGTATGTCACATCGTAAAATCGTCATAATCACAAAATAGAAAAATGTTAAAAGTTATTTATAATTATTTTAGAACTTCTATGTTCAGTTGATGAAGTGTAGTTAGTGTAATTGATCGAGAAGTACATTTCTGCTCCGTGCTGCATCTGCTGCGTGGAGTTAACCCTTTGATGTCCTGCTGCGTTTCGCTTCTCTACAATTTAAATTTAAATACTGTAATATTTTAAATAAACAATCTATGCACCATGGATTTTTTATTTAAAATATTACAGTATTTAAATTTAAATTGTTTATTTACACAGAAGGAGGGAGATAAGGAAGTGATGAGTGTGATTGCAGTGGAGAAGTGGGCTGGAAGAGAGCAGAGATGATGACATGATGTGCTCTTTTAGAGCGTTTAGAGTTTTTTCATTCATTCATTCAACCTTTATTTAAACATGTTTATCCCAATGAGCCTCATTGACTCATTTACAAGAGCAACCTGAGTTTAACAAAGAATGATGACAACAGTGGACAACAATAGACAGTCATAAAAGAGGCATACAGATTTTTTTTTTTACAAATTAAAATTTGGCAAAAAAAAAGTTGCAAAAACAGCTAGATTATCAGACAAATGTAGAAAACTAAAAATAAGAACATGTCTGCATTGGTTCTACCCAGGAGCCCAACAGATGCTTAAAACCACAAGAGGTCAAGGTCGAGAGAATTTAAAATAAGGGTTGTAAGCTCAATCATCCAAGTAGATAACAACAAAAAAGGTTAAATTGTGTCATCTGGATAAGTTTCTTTAAATTAGAAACATTTCGTCCCCCATCCATATTTTATAATATTGCAGTATTGAGTGTGGGAAGGGTTTATATATATATATACTAAAATAAACTACTACTTATTATTACTTTGTAGTAATAAGTACTTTGTACTACTATACCTACTTTGCAGTTTTTCACATATTGTGGGGGGCGTGGCCCTAAACCCCACAATAAACGAGGGACTACTGTATACCGTTGCAGGCAAAAGTTTACATCCACTCATCATGGACATGAATGTTGTCAATAATTTGGAGTTCTTAATAATTCAAATAAATTTAATTTTTTTCAGAATGGAATGATTAAAACCACACAATTTAATCACAAAAAAAAAGAGTTAAATGTTGTCATCTGGACCCTTTTTTGTGATTTACCCGTCTGGATGAATCCACTCCTGTTAATTATTTAAATTTTCATGTTCCTAGAACAACTGGCCGAGGTGGAAGAGAAGATTTTATTTTTCAGTCAGGATTATTGATTAATGCCAAACCAGTTATTAGTTATGATTCTTTTGGATCGCTGTCCCTCAGTCTTTCTCATCCAAAATGGAAATCAGAAAAGCCACTTTTACTAGTTGTTATATATCGTCCACCAGGAGCTTACTCTCAGTTTTTGTCTGAATTCTCAGAATTATTAACTGACTTACTATTAAATACTGATAAAATCATCATAATGGGTGATTTCAATATTCATGTGGATGTTGAGAGTGATAGCTTAAGCCTATCCTTTAATAATTTAATAGACTCATTTGGTTTTACTCAAAATGTCCGCACATCTACTCATTCTTATCATCACACTCTTGATTTAGTTCTGACCTATGGTGTAGAGATTAAGGACTTGGTAATAGTTCCTCAAAATCCTATTCTGTCCGACCATTTTTTAATAACCTTTGATTTTACATTAAATGACTACACAGTCACTGAGAGTAAATTTCATCTCAGCAGGTGCTTATCAGAAAATGCTGGGACCAAATTTAAACAATCTCTTCCATCAATGTTTTCCTCTGTCTTGCAGTGTAATGCATCAGAGAACAGTGACTTAGATCATCTAGTTGATCATCTTACAACTTCAATGCAAACTTCACTTGATAAAATTGCTCCAATGAAAAAGAAAAAAATCAATCAGAGGAAACTGGCTCCTTGGTTTAATTCTGAGTTATGTAATTTAAAGCAGGCGTCCAGAAACCAGGAGAGAAAATGGCGCTCTACTAATGTTCAAGGATTTTATTTAACTTGGAAACATAGTCTGCTAACATATAAAAAAGCTCTCTTTAACACTAGAACTTTATATTACTCATCTTTAATAGAGGAGAATAAAAATAACCCTAGGTTTCTGTTTAGTACTATTGCTTAACTAATTAAAAGTCCCATTTCTGTTGAACCATGTATCCCTACAACTATAAGTAGTGATGACTTCATGAGATTCTTTATAAATAAAATTATTTCAATTAGAGAGAAAATTCAAACCATCTTTCCTTCTACTATCTCTAGTCCCATGTCAAATGAGGCAACTTTAAAAATTTCACTAGAGCCTGATTTATGTTTGGACAGTTTTTGTCCTGTTGAGCTCTCTGAATTGTCAAAAATAATAACCTCATCCAAACCATCCACATGTCTGCTAGATCCCATTCCAACCAGACTGTTTAAAGAGGTATTTCCCCTAATTAATGTCCACATTTTGGATCTACTTAATTTGTCTTTAATGGATGGTTATGTACCACAGCGCTTTAAGGTTGCTGTAATTAAACCTTTACCTAAGAAGTCTGATCTTGATTCAGAAATTCTGACCAACTATAGACCTATATCTAATCTAACTTTCATCTCAAAAATTCTAAAGAAAATAGTTGCAGGTCAGTTGCGTGAACATCTACAAAGAAATAATCTGTTTGAAGAGTTTCAGTCAGGGTTTAGAGCTTATCATAGCACAAAAACAGCACTAGTAAAAGTAACTAATGATATTCTCATGGCCTCAGACAATGGACTTGTGTCTATACTGGTCCTGTTAGACCTCAGTGCTGCATTTGATAAAGTTGATCACAATATTTTACTACAGAGGCTTGAATATGATATTGGGATTACAGGAACGGCTCTAAAATGTAAAACTCAGTGTGCCGAGTCATATTTTCAGTATGATCGTCGGGCACTTTTGGAGCTCCGTACTTTTGCTGAAATTCCCGCGGAGTTTTTGAACAGCGGCCAGCACTCTCCCCCACCGGTCCTATCTGAGATTCCTGCGTTCCTTCTGCGTGACCCTGGCCTTTCTCCATGGAGGAAACGTCGCAGACGTCGTGGGAAGCGTGCAGGAATTTTGGTGAAACTGAGGCAAAGTGTGGATTATTCTATCAGGACTCGCTCTGGATCTGATCATCTCCTCTCTGACCCGTGGTGCTCCCGGGGCCTGGCTGCTGGCCAGCTGCCCGCGCGCTCAGTCCATGGAAACACCTGGAGTTGTTTACCTGTGCGCCGCACCAGCAGACCAGGAGGAGCTGTTCTTCATAACCTGCGCCCGCTGGCGCGCGCGTCTCCCTCCACGGCTGTGCCTGTGTCGAACAATATCAGGATGTGTTTAATCAACGCAAGGTCTGTTTCCAACAAGACGTTTATCCTCAATGACTTTTTTAAAGATGAGGAGTTGGATTTTCTGTTCGTCACAGAATCTTGGATTTCTGATGGTGAGTCCAGCGCCTTGGTGGAACTACTTCCTCCGGACTGTCTGTGTTTCAATGCCCCGCGGCCATCAGGTCGGCGCGGGGGGGTGGATTATTAACAGTTTTTAAAGCAAACTTTGCGTGTAAACAGTTGTCCATCGCGGTGTCCCGCGCCAGCTTCGAGCTGAGCACCTTTGAACTCGGACTCTCTCCTACGGTTCTGTGCGCGCTTGTCTACCGCCCACCTCGTTCTAAGGACTTCATAAATGAATTCTCTGACTTTTTGGCTGATATCACACAGAGATACACTCACTTTTTGCTTATTGGTGACTTTAATTTGCATGTGTGTTGTCAGGAGAAGCCCTTAGTGAAGGACTTTCTGGATTTATTGGACTCTTTTAATTTAACTCAGCAGGTGAGCGGCCCCACCCAGGAACACGGTCACACGCTGGACCTCGTTTTAACACGCGATGTCTCTGTTTCTAATTTGAAAATCGGTGACAATGTTTTTTCAGATCACATGCCTGTATTGTTTGACTTCACCCCCCCTTGTCATACTGCTAAGACGTGCGTTCCTGCACGTACGCGTTCCATTAACCATTTCACTGCTGCTCGTTTTAATGAAGGTTTTAATTCTGAGAGGATCGAACAGCTCTCGGTGTCTCTTACCACTGAGGAGCTAACCTCTCAGTTCAACTCTGCCTGTTTAAATGTTCTGGACCGTGTTGCTCCCCTTAAGACCAGAAAAACAAAACTTAAATCAGAGCCTTGGCTGAATGACGTCACGCGAGCCGTTAGGCGGCAGTGTCGCAAAGCTGAACGAAAGTGGAGGAAGGACAGGCTCCAGGTGTCTTTTCAAATGTTAAGGGAGAGTTGGCGTCACTATCAGAAAACCGTTAAAGTTGCCAAATGTAAATTCTTTTCTGATTTAATTGTCTCCAACTCCCACAACCCCCGAGTTCTTTTCTCCATCCTGAACTCAGTTCTACACCTCAGTGAGCCTTCACCTCTGGAAGCCTCAACTGAGCTGTGTGAGAACTTCCTCCATTTCTTTTTAGAAAAAGTGGCAAACACCCGGGCACTCATTTCTCCACCAGCTCATGATCTGTCCATCCCTTCTCAGTGTGTGGCTGTGTTTGACCACTTTGAGCCCATCTCTCTGTCCTCTCTGGAGCAGGTAATGTGCAGCATGAAGCCATCTGGTTCCCCCTTTGATGTGGTCCCCCCTCGACTGCTAAAGGAAGTTTTTCCTACCCTGGGTCCTTTTATCCTCGCTATTCTGAATAGCAGTTTATCCTCAGGTGTGGTGCCAAAGACTTTTAAACATGCTGCTGTCCAGCCCCTCCTGAAAAAACCTAACCTTGACCCCTCAGTCATGTCCAACTTCCGGCCTGTCTCCAGACTCCCATTCACCTCTAAACTACTGGAAAAAATTGTGGAGTCTCAGTTGAAACAGTTTTTGGGGGATCACGCTATCCTTGAGTTATTCCAATCTGGCTTCAAATCTCTCCATAGCACTGAAACTGCTCTACTGAAGGTTTTTAATGACATTTTCATATCCACAGACGCAGGTGATTCTGTGCTGCTTGTCCTATTGGACCTTACATCTGCTTTTGACACCATCGACCACAATATCCTCATTTCTAGACTGGAGCAGTGGGTGGGCATCACAGGGTCAGCCCTTAAATGGTTTGGGTCCTACCTCTCTGACAGAACCTTCTGTGTCAATATCAAAGATTTTAGTTCGGCATCGACCGCACTCCAGTGGGGGGTACCGCAGGGGTCCATCCTCGGTCCCCTTCTCTTTTCTTTATACCTGCTGCCACTAGGTGCTATCTTCCGCAAACACGACATACCCTTTCATTTCTATGCCGATGATTGCCAAATTTACTTCCCCCTGAGGCACAGAGGCACACGCTCTATTCAGCCTCTTCTTGACTGCCTGGCTGACATCCGGGACTGGATGGCTTTAAACTTATTAAGCTTCAATGAGAAGAAGTCTGAAGTCATGCTGTTCCATCCCAGTGGCTCACTCATGAACCATGACATTGACCTTTTCTCTCTAGCCCCGCTAGAGAAACAAAAGGTGACTAATCTGGGGGTGATAATGGACCCGTCCTTAAAACTCAACAGTCACGTAAACATGATGGTCAAATCCTGTTTTTTTCAGCTGAGACGGCTGTCTAAGCTGAAGCCTATACTCTCCAAAAAGAACCTCGAGACAGTGATCCACGCCTTCATAACATCTAGGCTTGATTACTGCAATTCACTTCTGTTTGGAATCAGTCAGTCCTCCATTGCTCGTCTACAACTGGTCCAAAATGCTGCAGCCCGATTTTTAACTGGTACAGGCTATAGAGAGCACATCACGCCAGTTTTGGCCTCCCTGCACTGGCTACCCATTCACCTTCGGATCCATTTCAAAATTCTCATGTATGTTTTTAAATCACTGAACAGTTCCGCCCCATCCTATCTCACTGATCTTCTGCAGCCATATGTCCCACCGCGCTCTCTGAGGTCAGCAGACCAGATGCTTCTCTCAGTCCCAGAAACCCGTCGTAAGCTCAGAGGTGACAGGGCTTTCTCTGTTGCAGGTCTACGACTGTGGAATGAGTTGCCACTGAGTGTCCGGCAGGCTCCCACACTCTCAGTCTTTAAGTCTCGCTTGAAGACCCACTTCTATTCGCTTGCCTTTAACACGGTGTGATTTGTTTTGGTCCGGTCTGTTCTCTACTCTGTTGGCCATTTTAGTTAGCTTCTGCTGCTATTTGTATCTGTATTTCTATTTTATGTTTTCCTGTCTGCTGTGCATGTTTGGTTCTTTTGTACAGCACTTTGGTTGGCCTTGTTGCTGTTTTAAGTGCTATATAAATAAATTGGTATGGTATGGTATGGTAAAATGGTTTAAATCATATCTATCTGATAGATTCCAGTTTGTAAATGTAAATAATAAATCTTCATACACCAAAGTTAGTCATGGAGTTCCTCAGGGCTCAGTGCTTGGGCCAATACTCTTTACTTTATATATGCTTCCATCCATCCATCCATCCATTATCTTTAACTGTTTATTCCATTTTGGGTCACGGGGGTCGCTGGTGCCCATGTCCAGCAATCACTGTGCGAGGGGCGGGGTACACCCTGGACAGGTCGCAAGTCCATCACAGGGCCACATAGAGACAAACGAGACAAACAACCATTCACTTTCTCATTCACACCTAGGGACAATTTAGAGTTACCAATCAGCCTAACATGCATGTTTTTGGTCTGTGGGAGGAAACTGGAGTACCCGGAGAAAACCCACGCATGCACGGAGAGAACATGCAAACTCCACCCAGAAGGCACCTGGACCGGGGTTTGAACCAGGAACCTGTTCGCTGAGAGGCAGCAGCTCTACCAGTTGTGCCACCGTGCTGCCCTATATATGCTTCCATTAGGTAAATTTATTAAACAGCATGGGATACATTTTCATTGTTATGCTGATGACACACAATTATATTTGTCCATTAAACCCAATGAATCCAATCAGCTACTTAGACTACAAGCATGTCTTAAAGACATAAAAACCTGGATGACCCTTAATTTTCTCCTGTTGAACACAGACAAGACTGAGGTTTTGGTTTTTGGACCTGAGCACCTTAGGAATTAATTTTTCAGTCTTTCTCCCTCCTTAGATGGCATTAATCTGACCTCCAGCTCTAATGTTAAAAATATTGGTGTTATTTTTGATCAGGACATGTCTTTTATCCCCCACATTAAAAACGTTACTAGAACCACCTTCTTCCACCTGCGTAACATCACTAAAATTAGAAACATCTTATCTAAAAATGATGCAGAAAAACTGGTCCATGCATTTGTCATGTCTAGACTGGACTATTGCAATGGTTTGTTATCTGGGTGTCCAAATACTTCTTTAAAACGTCTTCAGTTGATCCAAAATGCTGCTGCCAGAGTCTTAACTGGAGTTAGTAGGAGAGATCATAATTCTCCAGTTTTAGCTTCTCTCCATTGGCTCCCTGTCAAATCCAGAATTGAATTCAAAATCTTACTTCTAACCTACAAAGCTCTCAACAACCTGGCTCCATCTTATATTACAGATCTTATTGTTCCATATTTTCCTAACAGAGCACTTCACTCTCAGACTGCAGGTTTACTTGTGGTTCCTAGAATTTGCAAAAACAGAATGGGAGGCAGATCTTTCAGTTATCAGGCTCCTCTCTTGTGGAACCAACTTCCAATCTCTGTCCATGAGGCTGACACATTATCCAGTTTTAAAACTAGGATTAAGACTTTCCTTTTTGCTAAATCCTATAGTTAGGGTCGGCTTGGGTTTCCTGAGTTGTCCCTTAGTTATGCTGCTATAGGCTTAGACTGCTGGAGGACAAATTTACCACAATTTTCATTCTGCTACTGTCTTTACTTACTCTGCTCAACCTGTTTTGTATTTGTAATTATTTTTTCTATCCTTAACATGTGTTTTTTGTCTTTCAGATATACCTGGACCTACCATTCTGTGTTCGTCTGTCTCTCCTTCCTGTCCTCTCAACCAGCCGGTCAAAGCAGATGGCTGCTTGTCCTGAGCCTGGTTCTGCTGGAGGTTTCTTCCTTTAAAAGGGAGTTTTTCTTTCCACTGTTGCCACTGTGCTTGCTCAGGATGGGAGACTGCAATGAAGCCAATATTCAAATTGTCTGCTGGATTCCTTAGATAGAGAACTTTACTAATTGGCTTTTATGTATGTGAATGTTTCTGTAAAGTGCCCTGAGACAACATTGTTGTGATTTGGCACTATATAAATAAACTGAATTGAATTAAACTGAATTGAATTGGATGATTGAGCTTTCAAACCTTTTTCATGCAACTTAATGTTTGCCAAACAACTCCTAGCAAGTTGCACATCAACCACAGGATTTTTGTTTATTGGTCAACAAGTATAATTTTGGCTGGATATTTGACCAGTTTTCTTCGCAGAATTGGTAGAGTTCATTTAAAATGGTTAGTTTCCTGACGTAAACCTGGCTTTCAAACACTATCCACAAACTTTCAAAAAGGTTTTGGTTGAGGCTTTGGGATGGCTGTTCCACATCCTTGATGTTAGCCTGCTTTATTCAGTCAGAAACCAGATCTGGTGTGGACCACCAAGTTTCAACAGTCTGGATGATAATTGAGGTGACGTTGAAGAATTTGGATAGTCCTCCATTATTATTTCATCTACAAGTACTTTCTTCAGTACAACACTACCCAAGCATGACGCTACCACCACATTAGATTTGTTACAGTGGTCTCAACTTTCAAAGTCTCCCCATGGCTCCTTTGAACATATTTCTTGTTATTGTGACCAAATAACTTTTTGTTTCATCTGTAAATTCCCGGTCCATAACGACAACCTTTTTGATCAAGAGGATCTGGTGGTCAGTGTTTATTAGGAACAAAGTTCACTTGTATGGTTTCTGTAGTTCTTCAAAACGTTCTGAGCAAACTGGAAACAGTTCAATTTGATTTGTTTGGTGGTTCTGTTTATGTCCGGAAACATCAAGTTTCAGTAATCTAATAACCTGAAGACGGTTAACTTACCACCTTGTTCGGATCGTTACGATGGTTCTCCATACAGTGCTTCACCAGTTCTTGTTGGTCCAAATTTCTGGCCCCGCAGAAGGGACACACAAACGTTGACCGGTTTGGAATATTGCTGCAAGTGGGAGGGCACATTAATAAACATAAGGGGAAAAAAATCATACAGAAAATGATTTAGGTTCTTCTTAACTCTTTAAGTAAATTCATCATATTTCGAACACTTAAATAACTTGAAGGCCAAGCACGCTTTGAGAGAATGCATATCGCCTGCCAACTTATGTGGCAAAGTTGCAGCTTTTTAGGTCAAATCTAGGACAAAACGGTAGGACAGCAGTATAGATGTTGTGAATGACTTTAAGCTACTACCACATCAAATTTGTTTTGACTATTTGCAAAAGTGACTCTGCTGATGCCATTTTGGTGTTGGCTAATGATGTTTATTAGCTGTGTGATCATCTGGAATTATGTTGACTAAAATTCAATCAGCTGCAGATGCACATCCCATGATTACCATATTTTCCAGCGTATAAGTCGCATCTGTCCAAAAATGTCTAATAATTTGGAACAATCCATAAATATGTCGCTTCGCCATATAAGTCACACCTATTATGCATCACCGCTGACAACCCAGAAATGTGGGCCGGTGTTGTGCCAAAAATCAATTGGCTGACAATTGGTGGCCGCGGGAACGTGCATGGGAGGACTTTAACAAGAATTTAACAAGATTAACACTTAAAAACTATACAATTATTTGTTTGCTCCACATTATAGTAGAGGTGTGTCTCAGTTGAACTTTTACTTAATAAATTCACTTTAATGGTCAAATTAGCTGCATTTCTCCGGGGCGGCGCAGTGAAATGAAGCTGATTTGACGGTTGCTCCAGGCGAGCTGGACGACGGTGGCAGGCTATGGCAAGCCGATTGTGTCATTAATAGCCACTTTAACCCATTACATGACATAACGGGATGCCATACTATTCGAGTGCCATCTAGTGGCTGAAAATGGTATGTTCAATATTTTCAATGTCAGAATGAATGAAAACTGTCATATCTCAGCCCAAAATTGGTTTATAAATATGGAAAAAAATCCATAAATAAGTCGCTTCGGCATACAAGTTGCAGGGCATGCAAATTATGCAAAATTTGTTACCAATTATGTACCAACATAACTGGTTTGTTCCACTTTGGAGTAAGCTGTTGGGGGAAGAATCAGTTTTGTTGTGTGTTTCCTTGACTGATGAAGCCTTCCGGATCCAAGGCGAAACGTTTCAGCACAAAAAAAAGAAAGTGTCCAGATGACCTGACTGAAAAATGTTGTACTCTCAACTACCATCACACCAAATTTTAGATTATATTTGTAAAATTGATACAGTAATATTAATTTATGTGTTTTTAAGGTCAATTTGCTGTTGTGGCCATCTTGAATTGGGATGGCTTCAAAAATTATTTTGTTGAAGAGATTCATCCAGTGATTTTTTTTCCTGAAAAATTCTTTAAAATCTGTCAATGAGTTTATGAGGTATTTGGCTAACATAGAGAGCTGACTCCAAAAAAGGACAAATTTAAACAAACATTTTGTGGAAATCTGTAAGCACTAAGTCTCAGCTACTATTATATACCAAATCTTAGATCAAAATCTGTAAAATTATAGTTATAGACACCTTTGTGCTTATAAGGAGAGATGGCTGTGGTGTGGCATTTTCAGATCCAGCTAGTTGGAGGTGGGTACAGTGTGTGTACCTTGGTATGGATTGGGAGGTGGGTACTACAGGAACAAACTTGGGACAGTTGGCTATCTGTTCATGGACTTTAGAACAGGAGGAAATGTGGGACCTCATCTTTACCAGAGACACCTGTGGACACACACACACACACACACACACACGCGCAGCTTTACATTAACAGTTATCATAGAAAAGAAAAGAAAGTGACAAGAAGATCATTATAGGTGAAATAATCAATAAAAACATAGACTGAGTAATGGATCTACAGATGAAGACGCTCTCTGATCTCTAATTTTCATGGATGGTTCATGAATTTATTAGTATGCACCTTTTTGCTACAGCCCCTGCAAGGGGCTTTGTACGAGGCCAGTTGTTTCTCCACATTGGAGGAGCGCTCCACCTTTTTGGGGTCAAAGGGCACTCGACAAAGTGGGCACAGGGGGGAGGTCACCTGAAGACATGGTTGCAGACACTCTCCACAGAACCTGGAATGGCATAATACTAATGAAACATTTTATTTGTAGGCGCCTTTCTTGGCACTCAAGGTCGCCTTACATAGTCTAGCATAAAAAAACAGACATAATATAATACACACAGTAAAAATAAGTACAAAATATAATTAAAATAAGACAGTGCAGTTGCAATCACAGTGCGTGGGTTACTTTGAACAGATGAGTTTTGAGTTTGGATTTAGAATGTGGCAATGAGTCTGTGTTGTGAATATCAGGTGAGACATGAAGTCAGGAAAAGTGAACGTTCTGACTGAATGAAGTTGCATTTCATTAGCAAGATCATGATCGACATGTTCAGCTAATCTGGTAAGAGGACATTTTACTGCAAATATTGTAATAATAAGATAAGATAAAACTTTGTCTACCACAGTTGTGGCAGAAATTCTCCTTCGACACGCTCTACATTCATCATATACACACCAGAAACAACAATAGAACATAATAAAGAAAAAACATATTATCACCATTAAGATGTGTCTATTTAGCTTTGTTTAAGAACATTACTACAGGTGGTACAAATGATTTCTTATAAATATTCACATAAATAATGTGTTACGTGTTGTCATCATTGTATGTTCCCATACAATGGTGAAATTGGCTCTGCATTTGGCCCATCTGCCCATGGGTGGTGCAGTGGGCGGATGTTGGGGGTGCCTGGGGGGTGAGTTGCTCGGAGGCACCACGAGATGTGCAATGACTGGGGATTGAACCTGAAACTTTTGGGTCCTGAGTCGGCTGCTCTGACTCTATCTCAGCCCCTCTATGGAGTCACAAACACTTCATTCATGATGTAACTCAAGAACAAAGTTAGCTATGTCAATACATTTCAATAAAAATTATATTGTGATGAAGTCTTATGACATTAAAGAGTTAAGGGTTATTAAGGGGCATAAACCTAACAAACCCATATAATAAAGTCAAAAGAAGTCCCGGCCAACACACTGTCTCATTTATCCATTCACTTGCCTTGGAAAAATAAAGTCCTACAGAAAAATCAAATGGCCAGAGATGAAAAATGTGTGCATGCTTGATGCTAACTCAAAATATGTTGCCATCAAAAATACCACATGAAAAAAGTGGCAATAAATTCCCTTTTCATATATATTTGCATTTTGTACTTTACCAGAACATTGGAATGCAAACAATAAAGTATTTTGCCTTTCTTTGTTAGATTGTAAAAAACACATAAAACAAAACCCCAACAGAACAAATGTCACAATGATAAGAAAGAATCAAACTAAACTAAACTGTGGGCTACAGTGAGCTGGTTGTAGCAGCTGCTGCTGCATCTAAACCTTCCCACCTAGTAGGACCTGCACCTTCCCTGCAGGAGCGCAGGCAACTGTTTGAGTGACTTTCTCTGTGACTTGTTTCTGCTGCTTTAGTTCTTAGAGTACTACTACATTAGCTATATATACTGCCTGACCAAAAGTTGCCACCCAAAAAAAAAAAAAGAATGGTCACACACTAATATTTCATTGGACCACCTTTAGCTTTGATTACATCGTGCACTCAGTGTCATTGTTTCAATAATCTTCTGTAATGTCACAAGATCTATTTCTCTCCAGAGTTGCATTAATTTTTCACCAAGATCTTGCATTGATGACTAGACACTAGGCATGATGGGTGCATCACTTCACCTGCCTCTCTTCTTACCCTGATGCACCCATCACTCTGGAACAGGGTCAATCTGGACTCATCAGACCACATGACCTTCTTCCATTGCTCCAGAGTCCAATCTTTATGCTCCCTAGCAAACTGAAGCATTTTTTCCAGTTAGCCTCAGTGATTAGTGGGTTTTTTAAGGCTACATAGCTGTTCAGTCCCAATCCCTTGAGTTCCCTTCACATTTCACCAAACGTTTAAGTGATCGCTGATCACGATCATTCAGGATTTTTTTTCCCGTCCACATTTCTTCCTCGAAGACGATGGGTCTCCACTATCCTTCCAGTTTTAATGATGCGTTGGACAGTTCTTAACCCAATTTTAGTAGTTTCTGCAATCTCCTTAGATGTTCTCTCTGCTTGATGCATGTCAATGATTTGACCCTTCTCAAACAGACTGACATCTTTTCCACGACCATGCCATGTGTCTTTCAACATGGTTGTATAGTGAACCAGATGACCTCAAATCTACCAGATGGACAGAGACTGTTATTTTCATTGATCTGAATAAGTCTGGGCCATCTGATGACTTTCTTTCTTGAATTAATCAAGCAGAAAAGACAATTCTTTATAATCATTACTGTCTTACAAATGTTTTGATAATCAAATTGTGTAGTTCACTCAATGCTTTACAGGTTGAAAAGAACTACTCATTTTTATTTTACATAAACAGTAAGTAATGATTTTTATTCCTCATTCAGAGAAGAAATCACCTGAATATGCATTTCTTGATTTTCTGTCTGAAATGAGTCAAGTCGTAAGTATGTGAAAGGTTGGTTTTCGGTCAACTAAAATGTTTACCGAGAAAGATGTCATGTTTAAACTTTTTCAGAAGATTACCAAGAGTTGACTCCATGAAGTCTGCTCTCCTGCAATAATCTCTCTGTCAGTTGTTAAAACAATCTCATCCTCTGACCTTGGCTTAGATAACATCTTACGTCACAAAATCACTCCTCTTTCTGGTCTATCCACGAATCAGAAAGCTCTGAAGTAAACTCGGAAGTAAACTCATTTAAAATGTGACAACTTCCCGGTTCTATCAGTCGAGTCTAGAGTGCAGTCGGTTCCAAAGTGGGTAGAGAGAGTTGGAATGGAGAATGAAAAAGTTCTCATGTAGTGCTCAAGGAGTTCTGAAGAGAAGCCGAGAATCCAGAGACGTTTGGAATTATAATTTCTGTTTGAGCTAACCACGCACGACTCTCTAAGGATTTTAGCAGTTCTCAACGGAGACGCTGATATCAGTTGAAAAGGATTCTTACTGAGGTGATCGATCATCAACAAGGTAAAACTTCTTCTTCGACCAAGTGTACCGTGGGCAAAGCTGAGATCTGACGGAGCGTGCAACTTCTGGTCAAACAGATTAAATTCCCTCACATAGTTCTCTGTAAGATAATCTCCTTTCATCTTAAACTCTTCTCTCTCACAAAATCAGTACAGAGATTTTAGAAATATCTGAAGCAAAGTCCTCAAATCACCGCCGAGTGATTTGAAGTTCATTTTCTGTGAAACTGTCTGTTATTATTTTCATATTTTGCCAAATTAATGTAAATGTTTGATGTTAAACTTTGATTCTGAAAATAAATGACTCCATTCATTTGATGGGTCAAAGGTAATAACGTCTCTCGTTACATTTCTGTTAAATTCAATGCACGACATTACAGTCAGAAAAATGAAGAACTCGTGAATATTGTATGCATATATATTTCATATATTTGTCATACAACAAGTGACACGTACCCACGTGACTCACTACAGTTGTTTAAGAAATGAGAAGCAACTCATTGCACCAGTTGGGGTTAAATAACTTGTTGCCAGCTGAATGTTACCCATGCAGTAATTATCCAATAGGAGGCTCGTACCTATTTGCTTAGTTAAATCCAGGTGGCAACTTTTTTTTTTGGCCAGTGTATGTTGAATGAATGTGTGAGACATATTTCTGCTTTCTAATTGTTCATAATACACGCTGAAAATTCAGTGCGGCAGAATATACCTTGCCACACAGACAGGGGGCAGTGCTGCCCCATAGGGACAATGAAGCAGGTGCAGTCTGTGCGTTCTGTTACACAGAGGGGCAGGCGTGTGTAGCAAATCAGTACACTTGTTTAAATTTGTTTAGACAAAATAGATCATATCTCATAACTAAAGGACTTTTCTAAACTCATCATAATTGTTCCAAACTCATTCATCTTAAAACAAAGGTAAGATAATATGTGTGGGGTTTTTTTTTTTGTTTTGTTTTTTTAATTAAGAGAGGAGTATGGAGTTGATTAAAGCAAAATTAGATGCCTTAAAAAATGGCTAAATTGAAATATAAGCTTCTATTTTGGGTTCATACATGTGAGCATCCGATTCCAGACGAGTCAGCCTCACCGGTCACAAACCTCACTGCACATCACTGAGGCTGACACATTGTCCACTTTTAAGACTGGACTTAAGTCTTTCCTTGTTGATAAATCCTGTTAGTCCAATTGGTTTTGGGACCTATTCCTTATCCTATGCTGCTATAACTTCAGACTACTAGAGGACAAATTGACATAATTTCATCAAATGAACAGTTTGTATTTGTAATTATTCTTTCTTAACATGTCATTTCTGTCTTTTTGTCTTTCCTCCTAGATAAACTTGATGGCCTCCATCCTGGACCTGTCATTGTCCATTTCTCCTTCCTGTCCTCTCAAACCAGCCAGTCAAAGCATATGGACACCTGGCCTGGCCTGCTTCTGCTGGAGGTTTCTTCCTTTGAAAAGGGAGTTTTTCCTTTCCACTGTTGCCACTGTGCTTGCTCAGGATGGTAGACAGCGATGAAGTGAAAACTCAATGTGTTGGCTCCTTAAATAAATAACATTAAATCACTTTTCATGTTTATGTATTTGTTCAGTCAGTGCCCTGAGATGACTTCTGTTGTGACTTGGCGTTATATAAATAAACTTAATTTGAAGTAAAAATACTTGAACATTAAAAACTGCAAGGTTGATAATAAGCAGAGAAACAGAATCAATGCAAAAACTATTTTCTTTTTCATAACTGATCATTTATTATATTAATGATGCAAAACACTGAACTCCCCCCAAAAAGTGTTGTTGTTTTTAATAACGAGGCTTTCGGTTTTTAATCTGTCCAAATGCATGACTCCATGTGTTCAGTGTGTATGTTTCCAGCTGTTCCCAGCTGTGAGGACTTGTGGAGGAACAACAAAGCAGCAGAAGCTGCTCCAACATGAACACGAGCAGCGACATCACAAGAACAAGCAGATACTTTACGTGTGTCCGCAGCTGCTGATGCTGACTGGTTTGTAGAAGACCTCTAAGCAGATGGGACAGGAGAACTGGTTCTCGACGGCCTCCGCCGGGGCTGCCAGCGGGCCCGAGCCGCCGCTGGGCTGCAGCTGGCGGAGCTGGCTGCTCCCCGAGACAAAGCTCCGAAACATCGCCATCATGAAGCTGTCCACCAGATGTTCAAGCTGCTGTTCACTCAGTCATTGCAGTGCGAGGACAGAAAAAAGCATCCCTTTGAAGATTATCTCCGTTAAAGCCGAACATTACTGGTCCCAGTTAGACACGCTGCAGAAGTAAACACAGCACGCACGACGCTTTGAGCTTGACCTAAATTAAAACAGCTGATCTATAAGCGCCTGGATGCATCGGGCGCTCCATCCATGCACCTGTGAGATCAGTGCTGGAGGCCCGCCGCGAGCATGGCTTTCTGGGAGTTCAAGTCCTCTTCTTTTTCTTGTTGAGTTGGAAAAAAAAAAACTGAAGATGTGCATTACCGCCCCCAACTGGTATGGAGTGTGGTTAAGTCTGAGTGTATGTATGAATATCGATGAAGTCCTCAAACAAAAGTTAAGTCAGGTCCTCTGGACCGAGTTAAATAAATAAATTAATTAAAATAAAAACTTGTTGAAACTATCTAAACAAGTGCTGGGCCATCCTTTTGGCCAGTGGCTGTTTAGTTTCCCTGATGTAAGACTGATCACCCTCCTGACACTGAACAGCATACACAACATTACTCTGTTTGTGCCGGGGGACTGGATCTTTGGGATGAACCAGTCTTTGCCGTAATGTATTTTGGGGTTTAAAAGCCACTGGGACGTTGTGTTTGGAAAATAAACGTCTCAGTTTCTCTGAAACTCCCACAACATACATGTTTTGTGGGAATTCATTCAGCTCCTCAAACTGACGAAGTCCTTTGGATTAAAGACAAAATGTTTCAACAAGTTTTTTTCTTATTTTTTTATCCATCCAGAGGGCCGACTTAACTTTGTTAGATTTTTCTACCTGCTTCATTGAGCATGCATCCGGATATCCTCTTCTTCATGTTCTCATTCTCAATAGAAACTTTTCATGGTCTATCACAAGGGTCTCCAAAAACGGCTCTGGGGCCAGATGCGGTCCTTTGGTCTCACTGCAGTGGCTCTTTGTAGCTTTGACCAACACTGACAGGAATTGTGTTTATATTTATATTCCTCATAAGAAAAGATTATAATTTTATCATTTTTCTGCAGTCATGTGACTGAAACCTTTGTGATAAAATGATGCCAGTAACACAAGAAGAAAAATGTACTGATCAGTTTGATCTAGTAGTATGTTAACCTTCAGTGTCTGGCAACATGCAGTGATTTATCTCTAAAAATTTAGCTGAAAATAAACATTTTAGCACATTTAAAGCCAAAAAACACAATGATTCAGCACATGTAGGCTATCGCAGACTGCTAATTTACCAGTCATTGAAATAAGGTGTTTTTACAAAAATTTAAAAAGCCACTGAGACTCTGAAGCCTGACGTTTCTGAAGCAGACTGCTTCGAAACACTGTCAGTGGCTCAAAGGAGACTGCAGTGAGGTGGCAAATTCAGATATTTACACAGCTTTGTTTACTTTAAAGAGACGGAAAATGCTCGGCACCACTTACCTTTCTGCTTCACTGTGTTGTGAGACCTTCAGTGATGGAAAAATTTGAGTGGAAGAAAATAATTTCATGTTTGGAAACACATTATTATCAATACAATAGTTTTGGACAGCAAAGTAATTACCAAACTTAATGTATAGTGAAACACATTACCTTATTGTAAATATGATAATGAGCATTTTGAATGTTGATTAGTGACCAATAAAACAAATTAAAATATTGCATAGCTAAATTTCTCCTAGTGAACCCTTAACCTCCTAGTTAATTAAAGGAATGCAGATAATGAATGTTATTATATAAAACTTATATTTTGATAAAGTTGATCACAATATTTTACTACAGAGTCTTAAATGTGATAAAATGTTGATAAAAAAATTATACTGGGTTTACAGGAACAGCTCTAAAATGGTTTAAATCATACTTATTTGATAGATTCTAGTTTGTAAATGTAAATAATGAAACTTCTCCATACACCATATTAGTCATGAAGTTCCTCAGGCTTAAGTTCTTGGACCAATACTCTGTACCTTATACTATATGCTTCCATTAGGTAAAGTTATTAAACAGCATGGGATAAATTTTCATTGTTATACTGATGATACACAGTTATATTTGTCCATGAAACCTGATGAATCCAATCTGTTACTTAAGTTACAAGCATGCCTTAAAGAGATCTCTGCGACAAGATGGCTCCCACGCCGGTGTCGGAGGCAGCCACCTCCAGGCTGAACTGCTTCATAGGGTCAGGGTGACAAAGTGTTTTTGTCTTCTATGTCCATTTAAAGGTCCGAGGTTAACTGAGTGAGAGGGGCAGCAATCCTGCTGTAATCCTTAATGAACCTCTGGTAGAAGTTAGCAAAACTGAGGAATTGTTGCAGCTGCTTTCTGGTCTCAAGAGTAGGTCATTTCACCACTGCCTTGGTCTTCTCTGTGTCAGTACGGTATTGTCAGCCTTCAAAAATGAACACAAGAAATGAGACTGACTGAACATGGAACTCACACTTTGCTGCTTTTACAAACAATTGGCTTTTGTAAAACCGTTGGAGGACAGTTCTTACATGGTGGGTGTGTTGTTCTTTATCTTGGGAATAAATTAATATGCTGTGTAAATAGACAAACACAAAAATGTTCAGAAAATCTCTGAGAATGTCATTCACAAGCGTCTGGAACACTGCTGGGGCATTGGCCAGGTCCAAAGGCATTACCAGGTGTTCAAAGTGTACTAGAGGAGTTCTGAATGCAGTCTTCCACTCGTCCCCCTCTCAAATCCTGACTAGGTGGTATGCATTACGGAGGTCGAGTTTAGAGAAGATGGTAGCACAGTGTAATTGTTTGTAAACTGAGTTGATTAAAGGCAGGGGATATTTAGGGATATTTATACTTAACAGTAATCTGATTTAAATCAATGCAGGGGCATAGTGACTTGTCTGTCTTAGCCACGAAGAAAAACCCAGCCCCTACAGGGGACATGGAGGGGCAATTATCCCAGAGCTAAGGGAGTCATCAATGTACTCTTTCAATGACTCTTTTTCAGGACCGGACAAATTGTAGATGTGTTAATTGTATCAAATTGTATTGTAGGACTGGTGAGGAAGTAACAATAGGGCCCTTTGTTTGCTAAATACAGGGACAGGGTCATGATAAACAGAAAGAACCTTGGACAAATTTGTTAACTCGGGAACTGCACTCTTCTTAACGACTGAGGGAACATCAGTTCTTAAACAGCTCTTAAGACAATGCATACTCAACTTTTTTACTCTTCGCTCAGACCAGTAAATAACAGGGTTGTGTTCTATGAGCCTAAGAAACCCTAATATTAGTTGTGCATTTGGGAGATACTAAAACACAGAACTCGCCCCATTCATGGTGGTTACTGGAGATGATTGGATGCAGAGGCATAGTATTCAGCTGGACTGTGGCAAAGCGCCGACTTGTAAGCCCAGACACCATTAGGGGTGCTTGGAGAGTTTGTGTGGTAATAGCCAGTCAATCTAGCAAGTCTTGGCTAATTAAGTTTTGTTCAGCTCCAGAGAGTCAATAAGTGCCAACAAATATATATTTTCTTGATTTGCCATAATATTCGTGGAGAGTTGCACTCGAGAAGCAGGAGAAAAAGAGGAGCTTCCCAACAACATCTCCTGTTCTATTGGTGGAACTTGGGTGGGGGGTGGGAATCGTTTATTGTTGTGGTTGTAGGACTCGATCCCTCGTCCCCTTCTGCCCTCATCCTGCATCAACTTGCCTCTGCTGCATTCTTGTTGGCGGCCCCAGTTCTGCTCCGTGTCATTGCAGTGAAGTCCATTAAGGGTCACGGACGCATAGGTCCATCGTGGTGCTCGACCTCGGGAGTCTGCCCGCCAGTTCTGCAATGCGCATAAACATGGTCTCTCCTGTCTGTAGGAGATCCTCATCCAACCGCTCATTTCCTAATCTGAGCACCAGGACATTTTTCTGTTTCTCTAGTTCTCCATTGTTCTTTTTAAACAAATGAGTTTAAAACTCAAAAATTGCGTAAAAGCTGTACTGGTGTAAAATATTTGTGAAACTATAAAAAATAAAATTACAATTTGAAAATTTGCACTTTATTCAACAAGATTCATGAAAAATATTTACAAAAATCATTCAATGTAAGCTGGTGGTGAACTGGTCTGGAAGCTCAGTCCTCACCTCCTTCTACAGGTGTGCAGTGGAGAGCATCCTGTGCTCCAGCATCAACGTGTGGCATGGAGGCTGCACAGCTGCAGAAAGAAAAGCTTTGCAGAGAGTGGTGAAGGCTGCACAGAAGACTGTTGGAGTCAGTCTCCCCACCATCACAGACATCTACACCTCCAGATGCAGGAAGAGGGCCACCTGCACCATGAAGGACCCCACTCACCCAGCACACACACTTTTTTGCCCCGCTCCCCTCAGGAAGGAGGTTGAGGAGCATTAAGTGTAGAACCACTAGACTGAGGAACAGCTTCTACCCTGAGGCTGTTAGACTCATGAATCTCTGACCAGGATAATCACTGTGAAAAAGCACATGTTTCTGATCTGTTTCATGTTTCTGTGTTCATTTGTAATTTGCAATTATCTGCTCACACAAACTCATGTTCGTGCTGCTGTTCGGCGTATTGGTTTTTTTATGCTTTTAGTGCTTAGTGTATTTTTAGTTAACGGTTTTCTTAGTTCATATCTTAGATCTTATTACTGTTTTTCTTTTACATTTTAATACTTTTGTTGGATGTAACTTGGACCCTGTGTACACAATTTTATTCCACCACATGTGCCACATGTGGCGTGTATGACAAATAAGGAACCTTGAATCCTTGAATGTTTCCTCTATCACAAGACCTTCTTCAAGCTATCTAGCTAAGAGTACTCACAAGAGTAAGTACCAGTGAGTAAGTAAGTAAAATTTTATTTATATAGCACTTCTCTAGATAAAAATCACAAAGTGCTTCGACAAACAAAAATAAAAAAGCGCACAAATTTTTTTTTAACAAAGGCAGACTTAAAAAGACGAGTTTTTAGCTGGGCTTTAAAAGAA